CCGGCGTTTACCCTTCCCGGGCGCTAACGTGTTAGCAATAACATCGGCAAGGCCGTCGTTGTGCCTTTCTCTCAGCCTGTTTTTTTAACACTGACGGTGCCGAACAGCAAGGACCTCAGTGGTGTAATGGCTAACACGTGAACCCCCGGAAACGGTAATTACGGATTCGAATCAGGCCTAGGATCCACGTTTTGCATCTATCCTAACATCCATAATGATGCTAAGATATTTGCAAAACTCCGGACCGCAGGTGTTTGGATTGGGGAACAAACGCGCTATTACCCTTTTAGGGGGCTAACGCGTTCACCGCCACACCATGTGGGTCCTTTGTTTCGCCTTGCTCTCACCTATTTTTGTTTTAGGATCATTGTGGTTGTATCTCACATAATATCCTGCCGTGAAGGAAATGATAGGCAGCAAATAAAAAATTGAAAATTGTGAACCATATGTAATTTTACCCCTTCCAAATTCCGTATTGAAGAACAAAAAAGGAGGATACGGCTATATTTACACTCCATGATTTTCCGTGTTTACCAATAGATGATTAGTTGTAAAATAAATGACGTCGAGATTTTTCTTATCAAAAATTCCTCTTTTCTTATTTGCATAACCCATTCACTATCTCTTAACACCCACTCTTGATTGGTGATAGCGTCGGATGAAAGCGAATCTGCTGCTGTAGTTATGCAACCATACAATGACTGACTCACAATGACTAAGTACTCGTGGAAAACACTTTTATTTTAACTCAGTCGGTACAGAAGGCAAGAAGTCGCTGCGGGTCTAATGCATTTGTATTTGCTACATTTGTGCTATCTTCAGTAATCGATGATCTTTTAGAACCCTGCTTACTAGGGTTAGTCTGTGACGAGACGAGTGGTTAAATATATTGGGAGGAAAGTTTGTAGATTGTAAATCTAGAGCAAAATGGGAATCGTAGTAGAATACAAAGTAGTTATTCACGACCAAGATCAACTATTTAGAAAAGGAGTTCATGCAGTAAAATAGACAGCCGTAGAGGAAATGCGCATCGAAACCAATGCGAAATGTATTCCAGTGTACGTGTAGAAACCAATGCGCATCGTTACGGTAAATATAACCAATGATTCTAGTGTTTCTATCCACTTTCTCGTTTAAGCGGTGTCTATATTTTGTCCTGAAACATGATATCTTCAAAAGATCAGCGATTGAGAACACTGTTTAGCTATAAAGTTATAGAAGGAAAGGCGAAACGAAGGACCTGCATGGTGTGGCGGTGAACACGTTAGAAAACAAAGAGTATTAACGGGTTCGATCCCCACCGGAGACACCTGTGGTCCGGCCTTTGGCAGATATCTCAGCATCGTTGTGGTTATGAAGTTATATCTTAGCAAGATAATACTTTAGTTTTTCCGCTACTGTTTAAAATTTTGAATGAAACATATCACTTGCAGGTAAGGACCGAGGGTGCAGGTTACTATGTCAGCTTCGGTTTTTGGATTTTAATGACAGCTGTGTGGCTTCATTCTCTCTATGCTTATCATTTTGTTCGTATTTATGTTGTAGCTGTTTCGTTGTTTTACACTTACGTGGTACGACGTCATAATGGTGTAGAGGTTCTGGTAATGAAATGGTTCTCTAGCAGGAGTGGGAAAATTCCTCTGTGAGTTCAGAAAAGTGATCTCTTCTTTGTTCCTTCATTCACATAGTTTCTGTTAAATTTCTTTTTGTTTCCTTCGACATCTCTAATGCTTTCCTGACCGTTTAGTTCATGGTGCTAAGCTTCTTTAGATATTGTTGGCGGTTTCAACGGTGGATAGGCATCTGTAAGATATTAATAGGATGCTTTAGAGTTGGTGAAAACTACTTCGTGTAGTTTTCTTAAGGACTACAAGGACCTTTAAAGCTCATATTCGTTGTGATCCTCATTTTGACTAGTCAGTATTCTACCAATTGCTACGGAGCTTGTTTGTAGACCTCAGATAAAGTTTTTATCCTTTATATTTGGTTGTTTTATAACCATCGTAATGTTTTCGCTATGTTCTCGACATTTCTTTATACTTTTAGACGTTCGTTTGTTGATTTTGTTGGATGTTATGCTGGAAGTGCTTACAGTGGAAAAGACATCTTAAATTGGATTGGAGACGTGTAAATACGGAATTCCATCACTAAATATTTGCAATATTTATATAGGTCATGCACTGCTAATGGTTCGCCGCATGATTGTGGCTAAGAGGAGTTCCTGGGTGTTGAGATGTGGTCTACAGCGACGTGGATTCATCCTCCCAGCAGGGTCTTCCAAGTTGAGGAGTCCGGCGCTTCCATCAGGAAGCCCAGCTAAGAGTAAACCAATACCAGAATCGACCATCGTACTAGTATCAAAGTGGTTGCATGGTGACAAATCTCCCTGTAATCGACAAGAGATTGCATGGTGTGGTGACGACCTGGGCCAGACTTTTGCTAAGCTGACTTCGGGACTCGAGGGAACTACTAGCTAAACCACCAAAACTCCGAAACAATGGAAATTATGCTGGGGCCCACGCAAGCACTGAGAATGGGTCATCCAAGTATCCAAATAAGACAGGCCATGCGGTTTTAACGCCAAATCGGAAAGATTCCTACCTCACTTCTCGGTAGGGCTTTCACGAATAAGTATTGACCTAATCCATGATGATGTTCTACCAAACTGAAAACGATGTGGGCAGTAGTGCTAGGTGTTTTATTTATAGAGAAATAAACTACATGCGTAATGCGGTACAAACGCCAGCCTTGTGTCCAGCTTTCTGATGAGTAGCCTTTTAGGCTTTAGCTTTCAAAGGACCACAACTTTTTGCAGACTTTTGTGTACTGTGGCTTAGCGGCGAAATATGACAGCATTGTTATCTTTCACCACTTTCCCTGATATGATGTAGATCGCACGTCTCGATGAAATCCTGGATGAAGTGATTGTGGGATTGAAAAGACCTATGAAGTGAAGTGATGGTGGGATTGTGCAGGCTAATATTTCACAAAAACAGCGACGGTTTTGACTCTGAGAGATTTGTTACTATGGAAGAAAGGGCATCACCAAGTTGACTTTCTTACACTGTTTCCAACTAAACACCTGTATAGTGCATTGAGTGCAGTCATACTTTCGAGATGGTACTTATAGATGTTTAGGATTTAACGTAGCCCATGGGAGTGGGGGAGCCTCCTGTCGTTGCTGATGGACAGGCCTTCTGGGTACGACTACGTGGCTGGGCATTCTGTACTTTTACGCTGATCTCTGCCTTACTTGGTAGGTCTTTGTATTATAAACCTATTATAATCTCGTCTTCCAACCACTGTATAACTTTGTTTAAAGCTTATCTACACTTATCAGGGTCCATCTATATCATAACACCACTTCTTCCACTCCTGTTCGTAAATCCTCGTTGTTGGCGAAAATGTATGGACCGCTTAGTTGGAGTATGGGTGGCAATGCCTGCAGTGAGTTATATATCCTTATATTTGTCCGTAATCTTGGGACTCATCTACTTTTCTCTAGATCGAGGAAAGGAATACATCGAATAGACCGCTTTGCTTAATCATCGTCACGTATTTAACCTATTTTCTACTGTAGAACAAATGTGTTCTCGACACATCAGATTTCCGAGGTCAATCATTGTATTGTTAAACGTGGCCTAATTCATGTTTTTAAATGGCCTTTGTTTGAACCTCATCCCCTTAAAACGAACAATTCTCCCACAGCTTTACTACCTCATAGTCATCGGGTGCCGGGCTGCGGACGTACAGCGGGGATTTCGTCGCCTCGGCAGGGTCTCCCAGGCTGAGGAGTCCGGCATTTCCATTAGGAAGCATATGTAAGGGTAAAGCAATACCAGGATCCACCACCTTCCTGGTATCAAAGTTGCATGGTGCCAAATCTCCCTCTGATCCACAAGAGCGACAACTGCGTGTGATGGTGACGACCTGGGCAGACTTTGGCTAGGCTGACTCCAGCGAATCACAGTGGCTATGCCAGCAAAACTCTGAAACAATGGAAATTACGCTGGACCCGCACAACCAGTGCAGATGGGCCAAGTATCCAAGTGAAACGAACAACATCGCAGCATGAAGAAATTCCGGCAGAAAACACAAAAGCTTCCATGTTCCCATTTCAGCACTAATATATTATAGAATTCAGGCCTTGATGACCTACATATTTGGTGCAAAGGTGCGTGTGCGCGGCGATATGATTGACCACAGCAAACCTGCCGTGATTATTATGAACCACAGATCAAGGTTTACTTTTATTCTACTGCCAGAACATTCGTATCATCCAATAATGAAGAACTGGCGTTTTTAAGATTAGACTGGTTGTACTTTTGGAACGCTCTATTCACGATGGATCCGTGGCTGTGTACGTCCGAGAAGATAACGCTTAAAGGAGTTCTGAAGTACCTACCAGGAGCAGGTATGTTATGTGCACTTTATCATCCTCCAGGGTCGCCCTTTTACGTATCCAAGAGTTCTTCGCGCTGGTAAGCGCCGACTACAACTCCAATAGTAGGGCCTTGAATGACACTGCGATAGCAACTCTTACATATCACTACCGTCATGAAACGTTGCTTATTGATATTGTGGCCAATAACAGAAATACTTTTTACATTAACGTTATAGAGAACTTGTTAATTCCGCAAGTTAACTATTAAAAGTCCAAGAAATTGCGAAATTGTAATGTAGTAAAGTGAGATAATTTCACCCTAGCGATGTGTCTACCCTTTGCATCGGGGAGGCGATCCTCATAAACACAAAAAAGGGACACATCACTAGGACGAACAACCGCGAAGAATCCATCTATGAGAAACACAGAGACGTCGAGAATTCAGTTAAGATGATTCCAGTGATAAAGGTCTTCCTACAATACGCTTTTTACCGTGAGGCAAAATGAAAAAGCCTAAAATCGAGAAATCGAGCAAAAGTGTAAAACGCAATTAAGCTAGATGAAAATGTACACAGTAAACAGCTAAAAGATCGTATCCACAAAAATCCAAGTCTACTTAATTCATTACGAAGCGGATTCGCTGTTGGGGATCTATCATAATAACCCCATTAGCTTCATGAACTAAAATCGCATTTCGAAGGGCTTCTTCGGTTATACCTCTGCGAGTACATCTGAAAAATGACAAATTACCATCGAAATGTGTGAAAAGCCTTTGAATATAAAGTCGAAACTAGGAAACTGACGATTCCAATGCGGTTTTGAACGGAATAGCTTCCTCCCCTGATGATAAGTTAAGTTCTCGAAGGACCGCAAACGCTTGATCGACCGGCGAGTGACGACTAAACTCTAAGTCTTTAACAAAGGTAAGCGCAGAAAAGATTCGTTGACTTACATCTCTTTTTGGTGCATCTCAGGGCGCAATGAGTCTTTGCTAGCTTGCATCAGTCGAATTGCCTCCTCAATATCGTCCGGTGACACAACATTTGAGAGACGAAGACGCGCTAGCGCGGTTGACATCCTGAATTGTTATCAGCAAAGTTAGGTCTTGATCGATTCTGCTGCGGAACGGACTGTGGGGTGTAAAAGTGACATGAGAAGTAAACGCACCTAATCACAGATAACAGAAGACGAGGTGACGTGAATGTTGAGTCGTCGCTTTCTCGTGCATTACGGCGCAGATCGACATACATCTCAACGAGCCTTCAAAACAATATAGGCTAGTTCTTAGTACGTCAACAAAAACTAAAGCGTTGACGGACCTTTCCCGAAGAGCGTCTCCAACAACCGGTTGCTTCCGTTGAGCCACTTCAATAAACCGTCTGTAAAGTGCACTCGACAAGTACGTCCACAACGATTACTTAAATCTTGCCTGATTAGACGCATGTCTATCGGCTTCATTCCTTCAATCTCTGGCTGCTTAGAATTCATGTGGACATAGGTGATGTGAGATGCAAGACGTCTATCACCATCACGATTCGGCTTATCTTGTATCAACCACAGCAAATCAAATCTAGGTGAAGAATTTGTTGCAGTAAGATGACGTCAACTTCGAATTAGCAAAGGAAGAAGTGTTGAGGAGAAATTCTACTTACCTAGAAAGCAATGCCGCAGGAAGATCAATGTTCTGTTCAATAGATCGTTTCGGATTATATCTAAACACGGAGATGTCATGTGCACAGTAGTGCTGTTGTACTAAGATAACTCCTCTACCTTCCAAACGCAGGATTAGCAGCAGCTATAATTGCAACACGAGCATTCAATGTCGTCATGATTCCTGCCTTCGCGATAGAGATCGTCTGCTGTTCCATTACCTTCAGTGTGAAGAAAAAAGGCTACTTAGCTTCTAAGAAAGCTAAATTAGTCTCCTTGGATAAGTACATACAGACCTCATGGATTGATGTCCGATCGCTGTCCATCATCTTGTCGAACTCATCAATACAACAAATCCCGCGATCCGCAAGTACCTTAGTTATGGAATCAATAGTTATAATAACTTTCCATACCAATATACCAGGTCAGAAGACTACAGTAAACTTTGAGACCTACCAATGCTCCTCCTTCGAGAATCATTTCACCAGTCACAGGATCTTTTACAACAGCAGCTGTCAGACCAACTCCTGTAGAACTAATAACCAGGCTAAAAATAGGGATGCTTCTCCAAAAATGTGGGATGTAGAGCTAACCTGATGATCCTCGTCCAGTAGTACACTGCGAACGAGGTGCAAGTCTGTTTACGTATGACAACAGCTGAGATTTCGCAACCCCAGGATCACCCATAAGTAGGACGTTGAGGCACCCTGAAATAATCAGGACTATCAAAATAAGAAACAAAATTCCCACTACTCTGTTAAAATGTACCTCTAATCTTCATTCCACTGGCATTTCTATCGACTCCTCCAACTAGAGCAAGTAACAAACTTTTCTTAACATCGGTGAGACCGTAAATTTCTGGAGCAATAGAGTAAGCCAACATGTCGTAAAGGTTATCTTGAGCAAGAAGTTCGACCTAAAAGTTAGAACCACTTGAAATCGATGGTAGACAACTGACGAACAGAGAAAGAACCTCTTCTTCTGTGAGTTCTTCTTCAGCATATTTATCATCCACACTGCACCGTATGTTCTCAACGGACTGCAAAAAGAGTATAAAATAGGTTGTCCTGTTTGGATTGCTAAAATATGTCAACTAACATGTGCCTCCAAAAATGTCTCAGCCACTAGTCCACCTTGGCGGAATCCGGTCTTCATAAACGGTATCAGTATACCAGAAATTTGAACTAGATCACCAGGCCCGCACTGTCGAGTTGATTCTCCGTAGACATTAACCGTAAGAGTACGTGGAATCGATCCAACAGGCACTTGGTCACTCTGAAGTTGATGTATTTCAGTACGAACAACATACTTAAGTCGAGAAAATCCCACTAATTCTTGAATCTTGATCTCTTGGAACTTTGCGAACTTCGAACCCCGAACTTGCATGTGCAAACGGCCGTTTGCCCTCGACTCGACACAGTCTTTACTTGGACAGTTCGTAGCTGGCATAAATGATGGTCCTGTTACCTGGAAAGGTCAAGGAACGGTATAAGTGAAACCTCTTCGCTGAATTAGGTAGTGCAATGAAAAGAAGTGTTTATGACTATAAGATATGTTAGGGAAATGCTTGTTTCTGAGACTTACTGGCTGGTAAACTTCCGCACTACATGTGTCGCAAGCATAGGTCATCACTTCAAGAAGCGGTTTCACCTCCGTGGCTCGAATCACGATCCCACTAACGGTAACGAGCTTGCCGACGCAGTTTGCCTGTAAGAGAATATGAACTGTAGCGCAGCTCATGAGCAAACCTATTTGGCTCACTTTGATATCACGGACAGCAAGGGGCTTCATGGTCTCTCGGCATTTGAAGATCACTTCACTACAAGAAGTTACGCATTGAGTTTCCATATCGGCAGTGCAAACAAATGTCGAAAGAAAACTCACAAACGTCTGAGTAGCTGCGGAGGGTATTTCTTTCTAACTTCTTCAGCGGTACCACTGAGATAACCTTCGGATATCCTTGATTGGTCGTCCATACGCACTCTTTGGAATATGAATGCATCTAACGCATCACGAATAGGAGGCTTAAGAATAACACTAACGTCTGCATTACTATAAAAGAACACAGCTGCTGAAAACCTACTACCTGACGATCTCCCAGTACTTCGCGAATCATTTCATCTACGACTTCATTGAAAATGTGATGGAATCTAAAGGAATTCTCCACTCAGGTTATTAGCAAAAACTAGGATAAATACTCTAAAAACTAACGACTAAACGAAAAAAACTAAAAACTCCTACTTATTGCATTAGAATTATATTTGTTAAAAGTCAAATAAGTTTCATGTAAAACTGCACCTCTTCGCGTTTCCTTCAATTAACGTTGCTAGGGCTTCATCATAGCGAGCAACATCGTCCAGATTCACGTAGAGGGCGATCTGTTCTCTCTCAGCAATCCGTTGCACGTCTTCACGATAGTAGAAGATCTGAAATATACGACCTCGTTTGACAATGTACATCCTACAGTAGGACAATAATTATGCCTTATAGTGTTAGAAGGGCGATGGGTGGCACAGTGGTCGGAGACGTCCCGCAGCACATATGGAGTTGATCCCTGCGCCCATGGTCTATCAAGCCCTCAATCCCTCCGGGGTCGGCAAATTGGTACCAGATTTGTCTGAGAGGACAGCAGCACTGCCTCAATACTTCGGTGGGTCACTGCGAGTCATTCTAAAGACCAGATATGCATCCAATCACCTCCGAACGATGCTTAATGAAGTCGAATGCATGGCGCATCCCCCAGAGATTGATAAATTCCAAGAGCGTTGTCATTTTATTCTTTTATAGTGTTAGGCCATTCCTATTCATTTTCCCATTAAATCGAATTCAGCTGCTTAACTGATGGACCAGAATGACGTTTATAAAGTGAAAACTACCCATAGAAAAGTATAAGAATGATGCCATACTTGTATTGAAGACAACTAGAAATTATACCTTTGCTCCGGTTTCGTCTAGGCCATAGTAGGTGTCGAGGAATTCTCGTACGAGAGACTTGTATTTGTCGTAGTCGATCTCTTCCTTATTGAATGCCATGTTGACTGAAACGATTTTAAACAATTCTCCGTGCTCTCTGTGGAACGTTACATTTAACTACGGGATCAGAGCTTACTGAAATGTCTACAGTTATTGATAATCACAAACACAGAACTCCAAGGAATGACGACAGAGCAAGAAAAGCTAACAATGAGAACTATGGGGACGGCGTATACTAGCGGACAAATAATTGCGCGCGCAATGTATTCAAATTAACAACGGGCAAGGTTGAGCGATGGAGCGCGACATACCAAGAGCAAGCGAATAAAAGGGATGGTGAAATGATTTTTGGACCATCTGTGACACAGAAATGTGCTTATTTCGCAGAAACAGATTCCTAGTGAAACATTTTAGGATGGGCAATGGCTTGCAACGCCTATATTTTCCTGGATCGCGCATTTGCAAGCGATCGGACACGGCTCGACAAAATATTAGATTATTATTCCCGTTGCGGCTACAATTATCAGGTGAGGTTATCTTGTATAGGTTTGTATCGTACTTATATTTATCCTACTGTGAACTTGGTTAAGGGAACCATGCTTAATCGGGTTTGAACTGCCAACGTTTTTATCACAACTAAAGGCGAGTGTAATTTAGTGGTTAGAGGTGCCTAGCAGTGCAAATGTGTTTCTCGCCCGCGGCCCACCAAAACTTCCATCTCTCCGGAATCGGTAAATTTATACCAGGTTTGACTGGGAGGATAGCAGCGCTCACTCGATACATCGGTAGGCCACCGCGAGTCATTTTAAAGGCCAGTTATGCATTCAATCCTCTCCAAACGATGCTTAATGAAGTCGAATGCATGGCGCATCCCTTAGGGATTTATTAGCGCCAAGAGCTTCATCCTTTACCCTTTATATATTTAAAGGTGTCACTACAGCTGGAAGAGAGAGTTTATTCATTAAATCTTACCGTTTTTAAACTGCACTTTTGATTCTTTACGTTTTGTGACAGATCTTGATATATCCCGAGGGTACGGACAAGTGTCCATTGGCAACTGAAAGAAGCCGCAAATATGCAGAGAAGAACAGTTTAATGCACTATGACTACGTGTTGCATCCACGGACCACCGGCTTCGTGCATATGGTACAAAACATGAGGAAAGGTTGGCTCAATTTTTTCTTTTGCAAGTTCTTAAGCTCCTACGAAAAGCACCTTGTTTCGTAGCGCAGTTTTTTTCTTTAGTCCTCTCTTGAAGCTATTTGCTCATCGATAATGAACTCATTTTACGCATTTGAACTATTAACGATATCCCGAATTTGTTACTAGCCACATCATCTGCGTAAGATTCCAGACAGCCTTGCATTTATACCAGATCTTTAACGTAAAATCCTGCTTCTTATCTGGCTCATTGTTAAGATTTTATTTGGCTATTACTTTTACACTTTTCAATATTTATATAGATGGTGATTTTAATCGCGTAATATCCCAAGCTCCTTCCAATGGTTTACCGCCTTATCATGGCTAGGAGGTGTTCCTGGTTGTCGCGCTGCGATGTACAGCGGCGGATTTATCCTCATAGCAGGGCCTCCCAAGCTGAGAAGGAGTCCGGCGTTTCCATCAGAAAACCCAACTAAGGGTAAATCAATACCAGGATGCGCCACCGTCTTGCTAACAAAGTGCTCGCATGGTGGCAAATCTCTCTCTATTCCACAAGGTTGGCGATTACCTGTGGTGATGACGACCTGGAGCAGACATTGGCTAGGCTGAGCTGAACCAGCAAAACTCCGATAAAACGGAGATTATGCTGGAGCCCGCACAGCCAGTAAGGACAGGCCATCCAAGTATGTTTAAAGTTTAAAACAAATATCTTTACGCAGAAAAGGCGAAGAACTTCCACTATGCATTCGTATGCTGTTAGCATTTAATGGAGTTGTATAAGTTCTGCAAGGAATACTACGAAAGTTCCTTCGGAAAATGAGAAATTAAGTGAGAAAATATGTCGACGACGCTCGCCACAGCGTTTACGATCGACAAGCTATCGACTGATTACAAGGAGCACATAAAAAACACTTTTGAGCACCAAATTAAACCCCGGGAAGAAACCTCCAATAAGGTCATTTTTTCACAAACGTGTTAATTTATGCATAATATCTGAGAAATTCAATTTCACTTTTATGGATTTTCGTATCACACTCGAGACATTTCTCATTATTGAGGTCTGTATGCCTATGAGTATCAAAAGACCAAGTGAGAGCTTTCTGGAGTTTCACTTTCAAATAGGTGTAGTCAACAACATCTGTGCTGAGATCTCATGAACAGCTTCGTGTCAATTCTTTGCGATTGCTCAGATGAAGGGGATTTTACTGCTTCAGTCTCGTCTCCTAACATGGGTTTGTTGTGGTATCGCTAGGGTTGTTTGCCAACGGAATAAGGTTACATCCATTTCGTGATGGACTCATTCGCAACTCCAGCGGATTAACGGTGTGCGTTGTTGGTTTGAGAAAAACGAATAATATGTGGTGAAACTGTCTCCAAATGATGATCTGCAATCAAGGCCAACGTGGTAAACATGTCGCTAGTTTGCGGTCCAATGAAGATTCTGTAATTGATGTACTTGACGATAAAAGATTAAGAAAGGGATAGAACTTTCGACGTTCATCAATCCCTGAGGGAGGCAACATGCATTCTATTTCATTAAGCATCGGGAGAGGTGACTGAATGCATATCTGGCCTATACAATACTCGCAGAGTCCTACCGATGTATCGAGTCAGTGTTGCTATCTTCCGAGACAGATCTGGCACCGATTTGCCGACCACAGAAGGATGGAACCCCAGCCGAGCGTGGTGTGTGGGATCGAAACCATGTATATTGTAGGGCTTCTCTAACCACGTCGTGTTCTTCAAGGTGGTGTGGAGAAGATAGAAAATAGGAGGGCCGATATAAACATCTGTGTGATTTATTTTGGTTCAATGTGGAATTTCCATCAGCTACATTTTTCATTTCTTTTTGGGTACAGCAGCTGTCGTATTCTGTTCCATTGGCTTTACAAATAATGATTTCTTGGGAAAAGATGTCCTCAAATTCTTACGAAAACTACTTTGTGCTTTTCTATGATTTTCTCTTCAACTTATATGGCTTTACAGCTAGGATCTTGTAGAGATGAATTATGGATAAATGTGGTTGTGTTAAATCATTCCTTCGAACCTCTACCCTCGATGTTCTTCCGAAATTCTGCAGAAATTTTCGAGACCTTTGCTAGCCATGGGTTTTTTGAGCCATGATTTGCTTTAGAAAATGCTATTTGTTATTGGAAAATTAGCAGCTCCGTATATTTTCAACCTTACTTTGTTAATTGTGGTTTAAAACGTTATTCCGATGCGGTAAACATTTGATGTTATCTTTTTTTCTCATTTTCTTCTGGTGCTTCTTAACTCCAAAATCTATTGATCTGTAAACTCATAATGAATTTGATTGTCTGACCAGTTTTCCCTTGCTTGATATCTTTATTTCTAATGGATTTCCCATGGGGTTGTATGAAGATTCCCAAGACCGACTTTCTGTTAACCTCGGCATTAATTGATAATTCAATGTTTTTCTTCAATAAGCAGACACGAGGTTGTTAATATAGAATTTATTAGAACACAATTGCTGACGTTTCGGCGGTTTCGCCTTCTTTAGAGCCGTTTATTTGTTGTAGGTATTTAAGTTAGTTGGTGGATAGCCGCCGCACAGAGTAATACATGGTCGATAACTGTCTGTCAGTCTGCTTATTGAAGAAAAATTCTATATTAACAACGTCGTGTCTGCTTATTGAAGAAAAAACGTTGTATGAAGAGTTTCTGAGTTGCATTTCTTTTAAACAGTGTGGTATTTTGAGGGTGTGACATTTATCCCAAGAAGCGTTTTCTAAGTTCTGTGTTTCTGTATTTTAATAGAAAGTCGTTTTAGATAGATTTATTATTATACCGCCTAAGAAAAAAAAGGGGAGGATTATATGATTACAATGGCTCTACAATACCTACGCCAGACCCTATGCTCTGGATCAATCCTTCCACATATCTCGAAGTTCAAACAAATAGCCATCATAGTCGTCTGTGAGGTATAAAAAAAAATAATTGATTCTATGCATCAGTGGGGCTCCTGAAGTCACAGTATAGCCCAGCTGTGCATTCAGTCACCTTTACGACCTCTGAATAGACTAGAATGCATGGCGCATCCCTCAGGGATTGCTCAACGCCAAACACCATGTTCTTTTATACTTTTGGGGCTTAAGATAGGTCCTCACAAATCGTAAAATTTCGTAAATGGTTTTTTTTTCTCGCGTTGTTTTCACATCCCCAAACCTTTCAGCGACTTTGTTAGCGGTTTGGGTTTTATTTTTGCACGAATCAACTGCCTTCTGTCATCTCAACCGTTTATCAACGTTGTTCAAAGATTTGTGAAGAAAAAAAAAAGTTCTTTGCGAGATTTCCAGGCATGCTT